GATCCAATACCCACGCGGCCTCAGACTGCGGCGGCATCGCCCGCCAAGGTATTGTCGCCTCGGACTGCCGCGGCATCGCGTACGGACTCTCATTCGTTAACCCGTTTGTATTGATGGTCAACAACGGGTTGTCCATGTTGTTGCTGTGCGCAAGATCCAACATCTACGCGGCCTCGGACTGTGGCGGCATCGCCTGTGCACTCTTTTCCGTGAATCCTGGTTTACTTTATGGTCAAAACCCGGTTGTCCACGTTGTTGTTGTTCGCGCGATCCAACATCCACGCGGCTCCGGACTGTGGCGGCATCGCCTGCCAACTCGATGTCGCCTCGGACTGTAGCGGCATTGCCTGTGATCTTCTTGTCGCCTCGGACTGCGGCGGCGTCACCTGCGGGCTCTCTTTCGTGAACCAGGTGCATAATGTGGTCAAAAACGGGTTGTCCAAGATGTTGTTGTTCGCACGATCCAACATTCACGCGGCCTCGGACTGTGGCGGCATCACCTGCGAATGTAGCGTAGTCTCGGACTGCGGCGGCATTGCCTATCGGCTCGCTTTTCTTCACCAGGTTGCATCACATGGTCAAAAACTGGTTGTCCAAGTGGTTGTTGCATCTACGCGGCTGCGCGCCAGCCAGCTACTGTGCATTGCCAGCACTAGCGCACTCGGCATTGCTGGAAATCAACCTCCGATAGAACTTGAGGATGATGGTCAAGACCCGTGGGTTGCCCGCGGCGCTGGAAGGGCACTCCACCGAATACCTTGTGGAGCTGGTCCAGCGGGCCACGGCGGATTGGGAGCCGAGTTGCCCCGTCCCCCGCAGTATCCGGCCGCCATCGACCCAGTAGGCACGGGCGAAAGGTGGGCTCGCCCGGAGTCTGTAAGACAGCACCGCAACTTGAGAATTACAACAAGGAGCACTTGTCGGCACTCGCGGTACTAGGGCCGGGAGATCATGCGTTGATGATGTGCCTAAGGAGGAACAATCGCTCTCGGTTTCGATCTTCAACAGCGCAGGGATGGGGCTGCGTTGGAGGGCTCGGTTGGAGAGATGCAGCCTGTTCATGAACGCCGCAATCTACTGGAGGGCTTGCCTTGCCGGGGGGG